TATGTATACATACTTGTCTCTACACTTGTCTCTAAGAACTCTCCTGTATCCTGTTTCTGGCCACTGTGAAGTAAACAGCTTTGCTCTGCCATGCTTTCTGCCTTGATGCTCTATCTTCCCAGACCCCAGAACAATAAACAGAGAGGCCATGAGCTGAAACTTCTGAAACCATGAGCCCAAAATAACCCTTTCCTTCCTCCACAGTGGTGCGCGACTAACAGCCTCCAAGGCTTCGGCCTCAGCAGGAACTGAGTCTGTTCTATCCTCCAGGCCTTTTGGAGTAGACTCACTTCTGAAGCCCTTCCCTAGGCCTTCAGCCTGTCACCAGTGAGCTCAGAACTCGCAGCTTTCCTTTGCAGTACTTCTACCCTGGCAGCCCTTTCTGAAGGCTGCTGTTTCTCTTATCACAGATGCCCTCTGGCTTGGAAGTAGGGTATCCAGTCACCTTGTTCCTTACTGAGTCTGTCCCATCCTCTCCCAGAACTCCTAGCTGGGACATAAGTCACTGACTGCACTAGCCACCCTGTACCCATCACTATGATTGAATTAAGTAGTCTAAAAGACTGTCTTCCATGTCCCTGCCCCCATAGCCTTGACCTCTTCCTCCTGCTAATGACCTCATCTACTCAGAAGCTGCCCCCATCCATGTCATCTTAATTCAACTCCCCAGGCACTGTGCACTGGGACCAGTGTGGCCTGGACCCAGCTGCCCCTCCTTGCTGTGGATGCTGAGGGATCCAGGAGGGCCAGAGCAAGAACCATTTCAATAGCTCCCTCAGGATCAACTGGCCATGGGGCATATGTGTGGAAGCTTGGTGGACCTCTCTGTCAAACAGGTTGGGGACCAAAGAAGAAGGGAGCTGGACAAAGATGGGGAGGGATGTGTACAGGGAGTTGGAACAGGGGAACAGACTCCCCTGTGCATCACCTCTTCTCTGTCTAGCAGGAGGGGTGGACCCTCCATGGTAGGCTGTCCATTGATTTGCTAGGTGGTTAGAGGGTAGTGACAGGACCACAAGGGCCTGAGGGTGAACACGTCAGGGGTTCCAGGTTTGCTGTGGGCAGGGGTTGTTGGGAACTCAACAGTGGGAGGGTGCCCCTCCCCAAGCCTGACTTTTCTGCAACATGGGACCTGGGCAGGACTGAGAGTGGTAGGGATAGAAGCAGAGGAAGACATCACAGACCAAACATTGGGACCGTCAATGGAAAGGGATAGGGGCAGAGATGCAAGTTAGCCCAGACAGGAGGGAGAGCCCCCAATGCGGTTTTGTGGGGATTACCAGAAGGGCTACAAAGGCAAAACCTGGAGTATCCACTGGCTGGGTCTTGATCTGCTCCTCTCCAGCAACAAAACCTCCTTAGGCTCCAGCTTTCAGTGGAAGAGACTCAGTGGGGCCTTAGGCAAAAGAGTCTGGAACTTTTCAAAACCTGAGTCAGCAACTGTGCCTTTCCAAATCTCTTCTGGCTGGGCCAAGGTTCTGGGTAACCACCATAACCTCCCAGATGTGGAAGGGCAAGTGGGGGCAGGGCACTTGAGATTCCAGATTACCAGAGAGGTGGGGCAGGAAAGACCAAGTAATTGCACCAGGGACACATGTGCCCTGCGGACCACGGCTGGTGTGGACTGATGGTCAAGGCCAGGACCCAGCTGCCCCACCTCCCTGTGGGTCTCACAGATGCTGAGGGACCCACCAGGGCTGGAGCAAGACCCGCTTCAATGACTCCTTCGGGATTGCCTGGCCATGGGGCATATGTATGTGAGCTTGGTGGACCCCACCGTCAAACGTGTTGGGGGGCCAAAGGAGAAGGGAGCTGGATAAAGAGGGAGAGGGATGAGTACAGGGAGCAGAGGTTAGATGAAGGGATGAAAAAATGAGGGGTGAGCACAGAGCAACAGAGCAATTGAACTGGATCCAGGAAAGACTGGGGAGGAGAGAAGGACCAAGACACAGAGAGAACAGAAAACAGAGAGGACCGAGACACAGTACCGGAACAGAACTAGACAAGATGACTCGGCTAGAGAAGGGACCTAGACGAAGTGGGAAGAAGGAGTTGGGGGCGGAGACAGTGTTCTGCAGGAGGCTGTAAACGCAGGGTGAGGGAATCGAGCTTGGCGTATCTTGTCTGCCCCGGGAGGGTCGGTCTGGTAATTAGGTCTTGTTCCAGATGCGAACCCCCCCCCCCCGTCCAGCAATCAAAATGCTAATTGGCCTCTCGCCTCCGGCTGCGCCACGGCCAATCCCCTCTGGGAGGGAGTCTGGACTAGTGGCTCGGCTGTTGGGGAGACCCTCGCCCCTGCCCCCACTGCGAGCTTCGCTGGCTGTGGCTCGGCGATAAGGGGGAGGCTGCACCCGCCCCACCCCTCGGGAGCGCCTGCCATGCAAGATGAATGTCCCGCGGCTGAGGCGCTGGGCCGCTGGCATACAGCAGGAGAGAGGTCTCCTCGTGCTCCGCGGGGCTGGCAGCTCAAACCCACCGCGGCCCGACGCGAGGCAGTGGGTGCAGGTGGCAGCCCAGCGTGGAGCCAGGGGCGCAACGCTGATCTCAGCGCTGCTGCGCGGACCCCGCGCGTGCGCCCGCCCGGCCAGTCCGCCGAAGGTCACCGCACTGAAACCAGCGCGTCCCCGCTGGCCGCTCGGCGATCTGAGTCCCTAGCAGGGGCAGGCTGCGTGGGAAGAGCTGGGCGCAAAGACCCCAACGCCGGGAAGGAGCGACCAGGGGACAATGGCAGCGCCCGGTCCTAATTGGGGACATATGTACCCGCGTGCGGCCATTGTGAGGCTCCAACCCCCAGTGCCTCGCCATTGGCCGCTGGGCCTGACGTCATGGGGGCTGCAAACTCCGGGCGGGCGGCCACGGGAAGGGTTATCCGCCTGGTTGCCGGGCCGCGGGGGGGAGCTGCAGGCTCGCGGAAGGGCGGAAACCTCCGACGAAGCCGAATTTCTGGAGCAGGGGCATGGCAGCTCCTCTCACCCTGCACACCCAGCTTCCTGCGACGCCACCGTGCTGGACATCGGTCCCGCAGGAAAGGCGGGGGCAGAGAGGTTCCTCCAGCGGGCATGGGGTCAGCCGGGGTGACAAGAGTCAAGAGCCACTGCGGCACAGGGCCCACGAGGCTCCACACTGCGTTTTCGCTGCCTCAGCATTCGTTCCTTCGGTCTCCCGTCTCTCCCCGCCTCCGCACATCCTGGCCTCGCCTCCAGACCTCAAGCGAGGCAGCGTGGACCATACTGGGTTCCTCTTACGTTCCCTCTAAATGACCCAAGGGTCTCGGGGTGCGAGGGTACCAGGCCCATCCCCAACCTCTCCACACCGGCCCGACCATGCCACCAAGCATCAAGACGCCATTCCCGGAGCCGAGCAGGGAACTCCCCACATGTAGCGGCGAGGCATCCCCAGGACCCCTCCCAGGAGACCCTGGCTGGGGCCGGCCCCGCGCAGCCATTTCCGCCGGCCTTTTCCCCTCCCCGCCCACCCCCTCCCCCAGCTCCTGGCTTTAAAAGCCAGAGGCTGCGCTCTGCCGTAGGCAGAAGACGCTGCGGGCTCTGGAGGTCGGCCACCGAGCTGTCCGAGAG